TTTCTCATGCTTTTCTAATCACAAGTCATATAAATGAAATACTCTACAAATGTCAATCACATCTCAAGGACTTAAAGTTGTTTTTCTTGTTAGATAGGGCTGAGGAGAAACGGGGCAGATGATACTAGGAGATCCTAGTATCATAAGAAGATACTTACATAAGAAGATGAGCAGAGGGCATTTCCCTGAAGACAAGCTAACATTTCAAGAAGAATTCCAAAAAGTGAACTGATGTTTGCTCTACAAAAATGAGTCTCAGGCTCATATATAGCTCAAGTGGGTAGGCCACCAGCCACATACACTGGAAGTGGTGGGTTCAAATCCAGCTGGGGCCCACCCAACAACTATGACCACTACCACCAAAAAAATATATGTATGTATAGCTGGGAGTTGTCGCAGGCGCCTGTAGTCCTACCTACTATGAGGCTGAGACAAGAGAATTGCTCAATCTCAAGAGTTTCAGGTTGCTATGAGCTGTAATGCCAGTGCACTCTACCCAGGACGACAGCTGAAATGTCTGTCTCAAAAAAAAAACAAAAACCGAGTCTCAGAGGTTGAGAGGACACAATATGGAGATACAGCCAAGGCCACAAAAGGATGTTTGGAGCATGGATTTAAGTAATGTGACTGTAAGCTCAAGTGACCTATTTTTATTAACATAGTACAATTTATACCAGTGCTATCACACTATACAAATACAGTGATAACTTCTAGAAATTGTCTTACATGCTTTCCAACTGCCCTACTCCATTGTTTCGGTGAAGTCTTAACTTTAGTTTAGAGACCTAAATTCTTTAAATCTACAGGCCTCCTTTTTCAGGCCTGTAGAAAGAAATGACTTAACTAGAATAAAATTTTCTCTAAAAAGTGAAAGATTGAAGCAAGAAGAAACAAGTATGTAGGGGAGAGATGTGAAAAAAAATGGAATATGAAGAAACAGGGGTGGTGGGGAACATTAAGAGGAGAGAGAATAATTTTGTGTAGGACAAAACCTAATATCACAATATTTGTCCTAAAGTAAGTCATGGTTTAAGAAGAAAAATTGGGGGCAAACATAGAGCTTCAGTATGTTGAAAGTAGTCCATGTAAGGCGTAATATTTGCAAAGATGAATTTATAAACATTTTGCACATGAACAAGTTGGCACGACTGAAAGTCCTCTTTTTGATATTAGAATTTCTTAAAAATCTTATACAGATTACTTGCATATTTTTTGAAACTGATAAATTATATCAAGTATTCCATGTCAATCTGCCACTATAGAGTTATATTTAAGGAAAAAACAAACAGCTCTGTATTTTCTTCTGCCTTCCTGAAGCTGCATCTGCTTAGTTTTGGGTGTTGAGATCAATATTATTAAACTATTATCACTACTCAAGGTCATCAGTTATTCTCTTGAAACTGAAGTAAAGAAAAAAAGGACCCAACTTTGTCTTTTAAAACACTGGCCTCTGCTCAGCGCCCATAGGGCAGTGTTTAGGGTGCCGGCCACATACACCAAAGGTGGCGGGTTCGAACCCAGCCCAGGGCAGTGAAAACAACAATGACAACTACAACAAAAAATAGCCGGGTATTGTGGGGGAGCCTGTAGTCCCAAGTACCTGGGAGGCTGAGGCAAGATAATGGCTTATGCCCAAGAGTTTGAGGTTGCTGTGAGCTGTGATGCCAGGACATTCTACTGAGGGTGATATAGTGAGACTTTGTCTCAAAAAAGCAAACACGGCCTCTTTCCTCAGCTGCCTGACATTTTCCCTCCTTCCTCTGGGTCTTTAATTCACTTCTCACACCTCTTGGCTTTTTGTGGCTGAGTTAAGGTGACAGAACATGTATGCGTAACTTCTGCCACATTTCATCAACAACATATGTTTTTCTTTCATAGGTGTGGACTGTGGCCATGTTGGACTATTTCTCATTGTGGGACAAAATGGGCACTCCATGCCTTTCTTTCTCTACCCGTTCTGTCTTGTGACATTCTCAGTCAAAAGAGGTGTTTACACTTGAGTTTTCACCTGCTGCATCAGTGGTGTGATCTTTTATATACCTATGGCCTTCCCCTGCTTTTGGGTTTAAGAAACTTGTAGTTAGCCACTCCTCAAATAAAGGCAAATAAACCTCTTCACAGAGAGGAAAAGTATCCAGGAAGACACTCCAGACTCCTCTCAAAATGAATCAATAGGAAGCTCTTTCACTGTGCTAATTGGTTACCAATCAGGGCAGACAGAGAGGTCATCTGAGCAAGAGGACTTGGTGAGACAAAAGCTAAAAAGAGGTACCCAAACATATAAGCATGGAACCTAGGAATTTGTGGTACAAGGTGAGTACATGTTTGCTAAGGGATGACACCTGGCACTAGAATCTCACCTTGTAATGCTAGGTGGGAAAATGCAGATCCCAGAGAACTCTGGCCACCTGATGATGTGCACAGCTTTTTACTTAGTCTATGACAATGATGCTTCTCTGGACAGCAACAATTTGGCCCAAGGTCTGTAGAAATGCCCAGTCCAATGTGTAGTTGGCACTCTCTCCTCTCCCTACAGAAAGCTGTAGGCCAAGACTTCCTAATAAATGCTGTGGCTACATATTTCATTTTAATACTCCACTCTCCTATTATGGAACAACTGGTTCTCTAGCAGGAGTAACAGGACAGCTGGAATACAAATTCTTAAACCTCTTACATGCTGGATTGGGAAAAAGAAATGACTCACTGGTTCCTTTAGATGCCTGATTTCCTTATTTTTTTTACTGGGGAGAGATATGTCTAAATTATATACTCAGATTACGTTTCTCCAGAAAACAATAACCTTCCAGTCAAGGTACTACAGGAACATGCCTGGTAGGTGTTACATCAGTATGAGTTATTCCACGTCCAGAATGAGGACAATAACTACTGTGCTATGGGCAGTGTGCCATTTTTTCTTTCTTTCTTTCTTTCTTTTTTTTTTTTTTCAGTCTTTTTCCCCTCCTTGCTCTTCAGTCCTCTCATCCTTTTGGTCCTGTACCAACAGTACTCATTGAAACTTTAGGCCAGACGCATGGTAACTTAAAAGCACGTGAGGAAGTGAAAGGAAAATTAAGGCAAGGAAACAGATAAAAGAAAATACCCATGAGGAAGAATCAGCAGAAAAACCTTGGCAACATGAAAAACCAGTCCAGAGCTCACACACACACCCCACCAGGGACCATAAGGTCGCTATTGCATAGGATTTCACCTATGAAGAAATATTAACTATGACAGAAGGGGAACTTAAAAGCAGATAATGAGAGGCAGTGCCAGTGGCTCAAAGGAGTAGGGCGCAGGCCCCATATGCCAGAGGTGGTAGGTTCAAACTCGACCTCGGCCAGAAACTGCAAAAAAAGAAAAAGCACATGATGAATACAATGAAGGAAATTGCTGATAAAGTAGAAAATAACCAAAAAGAAATCCAAAAACAGACTCAAATAAGACATGAACGATATGAAGAATATAGAAAGGATATAGCAGAGCTGAATGAATTGAAGCCGTCAATTAGAGAACTTAAAGATGCAATAGAAAGTATCAACAATAGATTAGACCATTCAGAAGAAAGAATCTAGGAGGTAGAGGACAAAGCTCTTGAGATAACTCAGATAGTTAAAGAGGCAGAAAGGAAGAGAGAGAAAGCAGAATATTCACTGACAGAATTATG